GGGTATTTTGTTCGGACCTGTAATTGCTGTTAATTTGTTGGATCAGGTGGTGTTTGGAAATAATGGCTACGGTCTGGGTCCGGGTCTGATTTTTTTGGACCCGTATGCAACTCTACTCTGAAGTGTCCCTTTATGCTCCTACTGGTGATACTGAAAATCTGACATGAAACACAAGGACAAGTCAGATGGTTAGAAAACAGATTAAATGTGCCTTTTTTTCTATGTTTTTATGGGTTTCAGGAACCTTAAATAAACAAAGCTCAAAGTGGGCCGAGGAGTCAGGCCGCTATGATGTGGATCATGATATCTTCATGCTGTTCACTGTGATGGATGAAAACATGAGCTGGCACCTAAAAGACAACGTCCAGTCATGTACTGATCCAGAAGGAGTCGTTTTAGATGATCCAGAGTTTATGGAGTCAAACAAGATGCATGGTGGGAACGTTTTTCATGTAAAAACTTTGTATTCTTGCAGATACCTGCATACAGTGTGCTCTATTGTTTGTTTGTTTGTCTCTTGTCAGTAATTAATGGGTACTCATTTGGTAATTTGCCTGGAATCGAGTTGTGCCAGCACCGCACGGTCGCCTGGCACTTGTTTGGCATTGGTAACGAGGTGGATGTCCACAGCGCCTTTTTCCAAGGGAGCACCCTGCTGGACCGGGGCCACCGCACAGACACTATCAGCCTGTTCCCAGCCACATTCGTCACGGCCAACATGGTCCCTAAAGTGAGAGGAAAGTGGCTGTTGAGCTGCCAGGTCAATGACCACCTCGAAGGTAGGACACCTGACCTCTGACGTCAATATGACCTTTGACCCTTCTGACTGGTTGTGAAAAGTTGCTGACAGTAGAGAATGTGTCCTTTCTGTTTTGTCTCAAACACTTCTGCAGCAGCGCATATAGTTCTGCTCAAAGCATATCAGTACAATAGCTTTATGGGGGACCAAAGTCCATTGAATAGTTCACTGATGGCACCATACTTCATCAACACACTACAAATAAATCTGATTCCTCCTGTCAGTGATTCATCTGTTGTACTGGTTGATTTCAAATCCTCTCATCTGACAGCTCCGTTAAGACAAACAAGATGTCGTTAGAAACAACTCCTTGCTTTGTGCGTTTGTTGTTTTCCAGCGGGGATGCAGGCCTTTTATGAAGTGAAGACATGTGACAATAAGCCCAGCTCCTCTGCAAAATTTGGCTTCGTCAGACAGTTTTATCTGGCAGCAGAAACAGTTCTATGGCACTACGCTCCATCAGGAAAGAACCTCATTACCAACACATCTCTCACTGAAACCGACAGGTGTGTACACATGTTCTCCTCTGAGTCTAGTAACAGAACTACTCTTTAACATTAAAATATTATTTATAATGAGGTGAGAAATCCCATCTCTCTGTGGAGCTCTGAGACTCTCACACTTCAGAAACATCAGTCAGTTAAACTTGGACCTGACTCTGAGAAATTTGTGTCTTGTTTCCGTTTCCATACTGTTCACTCCCTCTTCTTCCTCCACCATCATCATAATTATTCCTGTCTTCATTTTCTTCTGTTTTCTATCTCCCAACTTTTCCTCTCACAGTGCATCAGAGGTGTTTTTCAGCAGAAGCAATGGACATATTGGAGGAAATTACAAGAAAGTGATATTCCAAGAATACATAGACAATACCTTCACCACCAAAAAACCAAGAACAGCTGAATATAAACATTTAGGAATTTTGGGTACGTTTTATCTGCCGGGACTAACAGCCCCATTCTTTCTTTTTCTCTGGTTCACAGACTCACTGTCAGTAAAATATTTGTCCACATCTGTGCAGGTCCCGTCCTGAGGGCAGAGGACGGCGACACTTTCAAAGTGACGTTTTTGAACAAGGCAGACAGAAGCTACAGCATTCACCCTCATGGAGTTCAGTACAACAAGCACTTCCAGGGAACTAGCTATGAGGATGGTGAGTCGGCTGCAAAAACTGAGGACATCCAGCAGAGGATAAAGTAAAAACCTAAATTAAAAAGAATGTAGCTGCATAACTGAACTGACACTGTCATAAATGTTATGATACCAAAGTAGCATATGCACAGAAGATCCAGGGACACATAGAACATGTGGAAGGGCATTAAGTGTATAACAGATTATAAAGGCAGAGGTGCACAATGCCCTAGGGATCCATCATTGAATGATGTTCTCAATAGATTCTATGCATGCTTTGAGGACCTGAACAGACCACCCAGCACCAGACTTACCTTAACACAGGAAGAAGAGTTCTTCAGCGTAACCTCAGCAGAAGTGAAGAATACTTTCAGAAGGTTTAATCCTCACAAGGCAACTGGCCCGGACAACATCCTGGGGAAGGCACTAAAAGACTGTGTCGATCAGCTCTGCAATGTGCTGGCTGACATACTTAACTCTTCCCTTACCCTGGCAACAGTTCCCACCTGTCTCAAGACTGCCACCATTATCCCAGTTCCAAAGAGCTCTACAGTGACTGGTCTGAATGACTATCGACCGGTAGCCCTCACTCCGATAGTTGCTAAATGCTTTGAAAAACTGGTCACTTGTGGGGCCTTGGGGTTGATGTGGAGGCGGGTGTATGGGTTTGGGGCCCCGGGGGGGTTGCCGGGGGCTGGGCTTTTGGGGGTACCTGGGCAGGGGGGCACTGCTTTCCCTCTGGGGAGGGCCTGGGTGGTTCTGGGGGATATCTGCTGGTGGCTGCATGCAGGCCCTCAGGTGGTCTGTGGCGGCGGTCGTGGGTCACCGATCTGGTAGCCTGGCTGTGCTGGTGTGGGTTCGGGGTGGGCGCGGGGGCTTGGGGTTTTGGGGGCTTGTCGCCCCCGGGCTTGGGCTTGTGGGGTTCGGGGATCTTGGGCTCTGGCGGGCGGGTTGCCGGGCTCTGGGCCGGCTTGCGCTCTGGTGCCCGGTTCTGGGCGGGGGCCTTCGGCTCGCTGGTGGGTTGTGGGTTCATGGGCTGGGGGGTTGGGTGTTTGGGGGCGTGACCAGTGGCCCCTAAGAGGGGATAGTTTGACCCAGCCTAGGTGTCTAGTGTGCTATGTGTTTTGAGAGATGTCCGAATGAGGGGTGGGTGTAGTATTTCTTCTGGGGTGGGGATGGGGTGGATGTCCTTGGGGGCGGCCCGGGACTGTGCATGGCCGGCTGGCTGGCCCCTTTCCTGTGGTGGGGGCTCGCTCCCGGTGCTTCCTGGCACTGTCGGCGGTTGGGCAGGCGCTCTTGGCCGGGTCGTCCTGGTGGGGTTTGGCTTCATCTGGTAGCGGGCTGACTGCGGTTTGTGGGGGTCCTGGCGGCCCTCGGGTGTGTAGGCTGCTGGTACTGCTTCTGGCGACCCTCGGGGCTCTGTCCCTCTCTGGTCTGGAGCTCAGCGGGCCTGGCGGTCGGTCCAGATGGAGAGGTGTCTTGGTCTCAATCCCTGGGTGGACCTTGGGGAGCTGGGGGGGGG